TATGTTGAAAAATAAAAAGTATAAATATGCCTTATATAGGTATGGTCCTACACTATATTATTCAAATATAGCATGATAGGTCCACTTTAACATTTATTTATTTATGGATTTTTTTATCTCCAGTTTTAAAGGATATTTTTGGTTACTTTCCTATAGTATACATTGGAATATCTCCTGTGTTTATCCCAATAATTATAAAGGAGTGCCTTGGAAATATGTGTTTATATAAATTGTGACCAAACCGTTTGAACTTAGAATAAAATTAACCATCTAAACACTCAGAGTCCTTTACCTCACTGAGCTGTAGTTATCAGCCTCTCAGTCTGACTGGAGAGGACTCTCCCTCCACATTATTGTAGAAACATCTTCTTCTTATATCCGTTAAAGCAGCTCGCACCAGATTCTAATAACAACAGCGCCGGTACCGGTGCACCCTCCCTCTCTCCCTCGCTCACTCGCATTTTGGCTGTGAGCTGCGGGCGCCAGATAAGCCAACATCCCCCATTTTCATCACTTACAGCGCCCATCGTACAGGGCAAATTAAACGTGTAACCGGGGTGAAAAGGGTATTACATTTACTTAATTATGAATGTTGTTACATCAAGGCCGACAATTAGGATTAGCCCCAACGGTCAAACATGTTTTTTTCCTTCCCAGAGCTGCCAGCGCAGCGCCTCCCCAGATCTGGCGCCCTAGACGAACATCTATAATGCCAGCGCTATGGGCCGTCCCTGAGTTCATATGCAACTTGCAAATATCTTTCTCTCTCTCTCTCTCCTCTCTTTTCTCTTTTCTCTTCTCCCTTCTCTCTCTCTCTCTCAATGTTGGTACGCAAGTGCGCGTTTTTTCAAATGACCCGGTGCTCTTTTTTTGGCGGAGGTGCGCATGCGCACCTGCGCACCAGTTATGTGCAGCCCTGATTATGAGTACTTCTGATCTTTGTCTTTTGAAGGGTGCCAACTTACAAGGGGTGAAGATGCTCTGTTCCAACGCAGAGGGAGCGTCTCTCAAAGGATGCAACTTTGAAGATCCATCGGGACTGAAGGCCAACCTGGAAGGTAATCCATCACAACTCTTGGTTAAGAAGAGGCAGTTTTATTGTCGTGTTTTAACCCAATGCTTTTGTGACCAGGTGCTAACCTTAAAGGAGTTGACTTGGAAGGAAGCCAAATGACCGGCGTCAACCTGCGTGTGGCCACTCTGAAAAATGCAACGCTGAAGAACTGCAACCTGCGGGGAGCCACTTTAGCGGGGACCGATCTGGAGGTGAGTCAGGGCCGTCAGACGGGATTATCTCTGAAACATGTTGGCTCAGCTGGCAAGTGACGATGTGATTTACTACAACTTTCTAGGAGAACACAGAATGAGTCTGATGAGTACAACAAATTCAATCTCCTTTATCGTTATTGCAATGTAATGGTCTTCCTGCATTTGGTTGTTTATGTTTGACACTGGTTTCACAAATAGATAAAAGTGTCCCTACTGGAGATTTCAATTAGATTTTGCCATATTGTAAAATAAGCATGTTTTCGAGTGCCTTGTGCTCAAAGTAGAGGACTAGCTTATGGAACTTGTAGTTCTTATGTGATTATCAATTAATATATCAAGTCAGGAGGCTTCCCTCTCTTGTATAACATAACCTTAACCATACATTATAAGGCTCAGCCTTTAGAAGCTTACATATATTAGAGAAGAATTGCCAATTTAGTTGTTTTCTTACTTTTCTATGACTCTCAAGGAATCTTTTGGGGTTTTCACTGGACTTATTAGGATAAAATAAATCTCGTTGTCATCATAAAGAACACGGTAAAGTCAGGAGCGCTGCTTTTGATCAGTGCAATTACAAGACACAGAAACTAACATCACAAAAACAAAAGACTTTTAGCAAAAAGACATCCAAAGCTGACAGCAAAGGTTCTAACATAATAAGCAATTGATGGAATAAGATTATGTGCACTATGCACTACTATGTATGTTATGCACTCAAATATATGTAATCAATGCATTTAATCCTCCTGGTTTACACTTAAGCCTTTTTTGCAGAACTGTGACTTGTCTGGCTGCGATCTCCAAGAAGCCAACCTGAGAGGGTCCAATGTGAAAGGGGCCATTTTCGAGGAGATGCTGACCCCTCTGCACATGTCCCAGAGTGTCAGATAACTCTGCACACACCAGTGTCAGTGGGGGGCCGCAGCTGGCTTCTTTAATACTCTCTTCTCCAGTATATTCCTCTACTTCCAATCTCTCTGTACCTGTCTGTAAAGCAGGTAGTTGTATGCACATCCCTGGCATTCCACCTTTATTAAGTTAGCTTTAAATATCTTGCACTATAATTATTCAGGGTTGTTTGTATGGTAGGACGTTTTAAATGTTCAGCTGCGTATATCACCAAAACCAAATAATGTTCCTTGTGTACGTAGATGTGTCTGGATGCAATCCAATGAACTATACTAATTTAATGTTCTTCATCATTTGTATTCACTTCATCTTACTTGACGTGTTCATGGGAGTTAAAGTCAGATCATTTGTGAGCAGTGAAGTTCAGAGCTGAGCTTCACTGTGCTGCTGTAGCAGAAACAGAAAGTGGCACTTACCAATAACTGTGGCGTTATATAATCTTCTTTAACTTTTGCTGGATTCAACATAAATAAAGGAAGCAATGCAAGCCAAAGCCATAAGGGTAGCACAGTCTAGAAGGCTAAAAGTGCTGTTAGCACACCATGACGACAGGCTAGTTTAAAACACAGCTTGGTTATGCAATACATGATGTTACAGCTGTGAGGTTTCTCCTTTCTGACTTTTAAATATTGTTTTCTTTAAAAAAAAGCTTTCCCTTGTTTGTGAATCTACCTCTTGTTTTAATCTGGTGTGCAATTGTGATCCACAATTGCATGCATTCAACTGTGGCACTGCTTATTGTAATGTGCATGTATGACATTCATTATACTTCAGTCTCCATTTGAAGAAAAAAAAAATGCTGTGCTTTAAAAGAAAAAGCCATTTTCACATGCTGTTAAAGTGGGTTTGCCTGCGAACATGCTCCATGTATGGATGTATATCACTTAATCATGCTTCGAACTTATTTGCACAACTACATGTTACCTTGTATACCTTCTCACCAAAAATGTTTGGAGCTTGTAATCTTATGTAAATCAACTCCAGTGTTTCCAAAACTTCTGAAATTGTTATTGTATGGTAAGCAGGTTTTGTCAGTTCTTTCTGTTTGCATGTGTGAAGACTCTACTCGTCTCTGACTGGTGAAGTTTCTCTACCTGTAGCTCAAAGCTGCTCTGATGCAATACTATTCACTCAGTCTAATTGTTGGTACCCTGCCTGTGAGAATGAACGATGAAGGCAATCATACAATTGTGTATTTTCATCTCGAAAATCCAAGGAAGAGCTATGATTATTTATTTTTAATACATCTCACTGAATGCAACATGAGGCGGAGGTTGGTTTGTGTTTTAGACAGGTCTCCCTGTCTAAGATTATTGCACTTGACCGTGGAAATGTATTTCCATGAATGACTGTTATAAATAAACTGCTATGAAGAAGAACAAAATTGTCATGATTTGTAATCCTTTACTGTGTCAGTTTAGAGTGTTTTGTACACTCGAAGTGCGTCATTTAAGAGCCAGAGCTGAACATTGTCACCCCATGTTGGGCTTTGTTTGTGGAGGGTGGGAAAAAAACACCAAGTGTCATCTTGTAATAAATAGAGGTAAGTGTTAAGTGTTTTTTGAATCCCACTTTGTAACCCCCTGTAGGGCCACAGGCTTATATAAAGCTTGGAAAACTACAGCAGGATTCACAAACGACTCCAGACAAGACAAATCAGAGGACAAGGTGAGAAATTCTGCTAATATTGTACATTTGAAGAGTGTTAATTAGGGATGAAAACCATAACAAAAGTAAACTATTATGTATATTTTCCCGCTCAGAATGGCTCCAAAGAGGTTGGTACTGTGCCTGCTGCTCATAGCTGCAGCGCTGCCTCAGGGCAGCAGTCAGCACTGGTCCTACGGCCTGAGCCCCGGAGGGAAGAGGGACCTGGACAGCCTGTCGGACACGCTGGACAATGTAGGCATTTATCATTCTTATAATGGCTGCCAACGTGTTTCCTCAGCGTTAGTTACTCCTATCATTTTCTCACATGCCCATTACATTTTAATAAGGTGTGTTGATGGTGTCTACCAATTAAAGGGTCAGTCGTTCAATACTTAGTAGCAGCAGTAACATTTCAAAGTGTCCTTGGGCGGGATACTTAACCCCACATTGCTCCCATCGTCATGTCGACATGTTGAAGTGTATGCAAGTCGTTTTGGATGGAAGCATCAGCTAAATTACATTTAATAAAATATGAAGGTTTGCTATGTTTCGGATTTATTTGAACTCAGGGGGAAAGTCTGAATATTCACGTGTGAATAAATAATGTTTAATTTAGGATCTTTTTTTTAGGATAACCATTTACTTCCTTCCACTACTTGTCAGACATGAAATACTTCATTATGTTTTTTTATTGAAAGTATTATCGATACATATGTGTGATATTCTTCTCTTTGCTTTATTTGATTTGATTACATTTAGGAATATACCATCTAATCTAATCTCTTTTTGCACATATTTGCTGCGATGATCTTCTTCCAGCAGCTGGTGGAGGCGTTCCCACACATGGAAACACACTGCAGTGTTCTGGCTTGTGCTGAGGAATCACCCTTTGCCAAAATGTACAGAACCAAAGGATTTCTTGTAAGTTTTTCTCATTTGTTCTTCTGTGGTTAGTTGTAAACCACCTGCTGGTTCTAATAAAGTTTTAGTTTATTCACACAAGGTTTCATTTCTCATTCTCCTTCAGGGCAGTGTCACTGACAGGGATAATGGACACAGAACATACAAAAAATAAAGACTTTTTGATTCAACAATAAAATATCATTTATGCATGACTCCATTGTTGTGGTTATTGTTCGACATGTGCAAATCACAAATACTGGTACTGCACACTCATTAACTTTTTCAAGGATTTCTACCTCAAAATATGTCTGTGCTGAAACAACATCAAATATAGATACATATCTTGGAGGATTATGTCCGCAAATTCAAACTTCAACATGAAATTGAAAAAGAAACAAAATAAAGTCCTCCAGATAAAAATGCGTTAAAGTGTTGCATTCAGGATATTTGTTGGTCTTAGACAGCTTATTTATGTAACTCATAAGAAGGAATCACAGTCATTACATTTCTTCAGTGTGGCACCATGAGTTCAGCGTTTGGAGGTTACATCCACTTAAAAGCGAAAAGGTGAATTATTTTATAACATCAAAATAGTTCTTCAGTTAATTCGCATTTATCTCTACATCCTCCCTATTCAATACCTCTCTTTTGCTTCACCTTTTTGAAATGGATGGAGAGGGATGGCTCTTCATCTTATCTCTCTCCTCTCTCCCTCTCCCATCCACACTTCCATTTATTCCTTTTCATTTGCTCTAATTTTTTATCCCCATCCTTCTCTTCTACCTCTCCTGCCTCCCTTATCTCCAATCCTTTTCATCTCCATCTTTCTCTTTTCCCTTTGATTTCATGAGTCCTCCTCTCATTCCTCCATCCCCAATCAATCGTGTTTTCTCTTTCAACGTCTTCCCTTCCCTCTACCTCTCCTTCATGGGTGGGAGGTAAGGCCCTCTCCCATCCTTCTTCTCTGGTCTCTCTTCTTCCTCCCTCTCACATCAACAGCATTTCTTCTTAATGTTCCTTTCTCCCTGCTGTCTATCCTACATGGATGGGAAGTGCACTCCATGTCCACCCTTCTTCTCCTTTCTGTTACTCCCACCCTCCCTTTCCTTCATGAACGGAGGATGATTTTCTTATTTCTTCTACCATCCATATTTGGTCTCTTTCAATCTCCTTCCTTAATCCCTTAAACCTTCCTAATCCAGCCTATATTTTATTTCTTTCCGCCTCTTTACCGTTTCCATACTTGATTTGATTACTCTTCCTCTTTATCTTTGTCTCTTTCAACATTTGTTCTGTACCTCTCCACCTTCCCCTTATTGTTCTTCATCTTGTGTTTAATCTTCTTTCCTCTCCCACCTTCCTTCTACCCTTTCACTCTTTTGTCTCCCTCATCTTCTATCCACCTGGTTCCTCCTCCTTCATCTGGAGCTCTGCTTTTCTTTTACCTCTTACTTCCAATGTCACAGCCTCCTTCCTCCCACCCTTTCCTCCCTCTTACCTCTCCTCTCTCTATCCCTTACTGTTTTCTTTAACCTGCATTCCACCTTTTTGAAAGGGAATGGAGAGGGAAGGCTTTTTATCTTACCCCTCTCCCCCCCTCCACCTCGTATCGCCACATCCTCTCAATTCGGTTTGACAGCTCTCTTTCATTCCTTCTTCTTCTAAAATTCATATGTTCTATCTCTCATTTGTCCTCCTCACCATATATATATATATTTCTTCTCCATCCTGCCACCCTTTCTCTTTTTTTCGTACATACATTAATTTACTCGCCTATCTTCTTGGTCAATATCTCTATTTTGCGTCCTTCCTCTTGTCTTCTGTATCTTTTATGTTTCACTCTCTTCCTCCTCTTCCCCTTCCACACTTCTTTACTCTTATTGACGTCCTTATTTATTTTCATGTCTTGTATCCATTCTTCTTGCTTTTCGTCTAATTCCTTCCTCTTCAAAGCCCCTCTCTCTATCTCTTGCTGCCTTGCTTCCCCTCACATGCCTTTATTTACTTCCCCTCCCTCACTTACCTCCCTTGTTCTCTCTCAGCTTCATGGGCAGCACGTTGGCCTCGCAGGAGGAAGGCGCTGCCATCTTCTCTGATCAGAGCCTTCTTCCTGTTTTCTCCCACAAAACATGTGGTCAGGTCAATTGGAAAATCCTTTGTAATTCAAGCTCAATTAAACAGTTAAAAATAGAATTGTTTCTGATGATACAAATCTTTATGACGTTTTTTTACTGCAGCCTTTGCTATGATGATTTGATAAATATTGAATGTTAGGCTACATTTTGAAATATTGGAAATGCTGTGCATTCTTTCTGTTTGAACATTTAAACTCAAACATTATTCAATGCAGTTTTATAATACATTTTCCGAACCATTGTTTTACCAGGACATAAGATAATACATGAGAAGGATCTTATATTTTTTAAACCACATTTATTTGACAACCTTCTGAATAAGAGTTTCCTTTAAACACACATGCTTAGCTTATAAAGTCTACCAAAAATAAATGTCCCCTTTAAACTTCTCCCATGCTTTGTTTTAAATTCCTGTCACTTTAACAAATAGTTCACGAAATACTAAAGGGGAGAGAATAGTTTCAGAAATGAATATGTCTGAAGCAGAAGTTTGTTTTTCCTAATTTCATACCAAATGAATCATCTCATGACCCCTCAGATTTATCTCGTGACCCATGTGGACAGGGTCTGACCTCTGGTGTGTGAGGAGGAACCACTGGACTAAAATATATAGAGCAGTTGTAATCAGATTCACCTCCACCAACTATACAATGGTACGATTCTGCTTTCAAAAGCTTTGTGTTTGATGTATCGTTAATGTCAATTGTATATTAAAATGTACATTAATACATCAGTCACAGAGGCCAGTTTTCCACAACATACTTTTATGTTGATATTTTTAAGTACATTTAGCTGATAAGTCGGTAACTTAAACTAATACTTACCATTTCTAATACATGACTTTAACTTGGATGAAGTATTTTAACATCAATGTACTGGTACTTTTGCTAAAGTCATACTTTTCCACTCCTACTCGACACGTGCAGCACGAACCAACAAATGTGAGTGTGCAGTTTACTAACAGGGTTTGGAGAGATGAGAACAACAGTGCTTTGAAAATAAACCTTTATCACAGATGAATCACATGTTGTATGAGGGAACAGTTACCCTTACTTGATCACACCTGTGCTTTTCCTGCTTTCCTGCAATCTAAAGTGCTTCCCATATTACTGAATATCAGATGCCATGACATTTCAAAAAGGTCTGCTGTTCAAACAGTCTTTTGACATTTCTAAAGTAAAACTTCATGGGTCAAATCAACCGGGTCAAGACCAGGGGAAGATTAGAGGATTTTTGGTATCTTTTTGCATTAATTAAACCAGGTCATTTTGACCCAAACAACACATCAAGTTTATTATTCTCTCAGCCACCAGATGGCACTAGGAAACAACATAAAACTGCACCCCCAAAGTTATTACTTCATCACTGAGTTTAATGTAATGTCTGATTCATAGAATAATGTACCATAAATCCAAACCATCTACGCAATCTCTCCAACTGCTGCTGATATTATTTGTATCTGTGGTATTTTCCATAAGGCTGGATCAGATCCTGATAATACTTAATAATTGACTGCACTTTATTGTGTTTGTTCACCATGAGGACATGTGTCTGAAGCCAATTTATTGTATTATAATAGCTCACCGCTCCGCTTGCTTCACGCACACTCCACAATCTCCTTTGGATTATAAAAGGGTTTATTCCCGGTTGGATGGGCAACATGAAAATGATTTTACCAGGTAACCCATGTGTGTGTGTGTTTGCTAATGGCGTATGGAACTTAAACAAACTGAATAAGGAATCGAAGTGCATTCATCACAGAGATGTGACAGTGATACAACAGCCTGTAATATCCTGCTGGCAAGAGTATGGGGAGCTCACACTCTTATCTCAAATGGAAAGTGTGTTTTTCAAAGAAGTCCAATCCGTCTGTCACTCTGCTGTTACTCAGCAAACAAACTCAACTAAAAAACCCTTCTGTAGATTTCTGCTACTTTTGTTGAACATACACCCGACATCATATGAGTATTTTTCTTTATTGGAAGTGATTTGATAAGAGATTTACATATGAAAGGCAAAGCAGAGCAGCACATATTTATCTAAAATCAACACCATTACGGATAATAACTCCAAGTGCTCAGCTACCCTGCACTTTAGAATGTTAGACATCATATCAGAAGCATTACTTGTCAATTAAGAGCAAAGAAACACATTATAAAAGGACATTTAAAAACACCTTAAAGAGCCAAACAATATAAATGAAAACAAGCTTAAAAAGAACAGATGTAGAATACAATAATTAATGATGCAGAGCTGGGTTAAATATGTATTTGATTTGAAAAGGAATTGGCACACAAATCAACTTTGTTTCTTAATTAGAATGTTGAATTCACGTCGGATCCATGACTGCTAATAGATTTCTGGACTTCGTGGTTTTCAACATTACTGATTGTAGCTGATAGCTGACTTTTAATTGTTCCTCCTTGGCTTGAAAAACAGTGGAGACAGCAAGGCTCTTTTCTGCTCAGTTTCCAGTCTTATGGTTAAATAAGCTAACTGGCTAGAGTAACGTCAATCTCTTTTATTTTGATATCAATCTCTTGTCTGCATGATAAATATGAAGCTACAGACAGCCAAACTGGCTTTGTATTAAGATATAAAAACCCAATACTGGCACCTCTAAAGCTCTTTACATAATATGTTATGTTTAATCCATACGAAAACCAAAGTGTAAAAAGCCACATTTTTCCTTTTCCTTGGGGTTATGAATATGATAATTCCTTGGCTGAGACCAGTAATTGGAGTCTGCATTGGTCGCCTATATGCTCCCAGCCAAAACATAATCCAGTTCAAGCTCCCTCTAAAACCACAAGCTGTCACTTTCATACAAGCATTTTATTTTTTTCTTGAACAAATGAGACAGCTGTACAGTTTGGTGTTAGTTAATTAGTGAGCATCAGAGCTGCTGATACTGTCTTTTTTAACCTTCAGATTGCTGTCTCCTACTGTTTCCAGTGTTTATGCTTAGATATCCATCTCCTGGCTCTAGTTACATATTTACTGTCAAATAAGCACTATCTGTCTAATAATGCCTTTGTTTCCTGGTAAGAAATGCATATGAATCATCATGCAGAGGA